AGAGGCATAAGTATTACTTCTGAAAATAGGGTTTAGATACTTTTTAGAAATGCTAAAGTGACTTAGGAGACAAAGTCTCATTTTCAAGAGGATTTAGAAGTTTTACTCAAGGCTAAATAAGTCCTGTAAGTACTTTGCAATAGCATGCACATGGCACTCAGAGATAGATATAGTGAAATCAGATTTTGTTTATGGACAGAGGGAATGTTGACCTGTATACTTTGGTTATCCTCTAGTGTCTAGTCTCTAAAACTAATATTAGACTTCCACCTGAATTGTCACATACATATAAATCAGAAAATATTTTAAACTGCTATTGTCTTCAGGTACATCTACACTTGCTCCCTAGTTCAAACTAGGGATGCAAATGTAGTCAACCAAAATTGCTAATGAAGCGGGGATTTAAATATCCCACGCTTCATTAGCATAATCTCACCTGCGCGCTATTGCGCTCGCCAGTTGATTTGAACCAGGAAGTGTGCTTTGGGATGCGTTAAGGGGTTTGATTCAAACTAACATGTCCCGGAGCGCACTTCCTGGTTCAAATCAACTGGCGAGCGCAATAGCGCGCAGGTGAGATTATGCTAATGAAGCGTGGGATATTTAAATCCCCGCTTCATTAGCAATTTTGGTTGGCTACATGTGCATCCCTATTTCGAACTAGGAAGCAAGTGTAGACGTACCCTTCCCTTGTTTTCCTTGACAGATGGGTTGCACCTAACCAAGAAGGGGACTAGCATCTTTGAACACTGACTTGCCAGCCTAGTGAGGATAGCTTTACACTAGATTCAAAAGGGGCAGGTCACAAAAGCATAAGCATAAAACAGATTACTTTAAAAGAGAACTGGATGTTGGGGAAACCTGAAAAATTACAACAGGATCATAAGAGCACCAAGAGGGAAAGCAGTGGGGGAGTCTGCTCAACATCTTAGGTGTCTTATGCACAAATGCAAGGAGTATGGAGAATAAACAAGAATTGGAAATATTAGTATATAAACTAAATTATGACTTAACTGGCATCACACAGGCTTAGTGGAATAAATCGTATAACTGAAATATTGTTGTAAAAGTGTGGCTTTTTCAGGTATTACAGACAGTAGGATATGTTGCATTATACATCAGACTATATTAATTTGTTCTGGGGTCCAGAATGAGGTTAGAGGCAGACCAGTTGAAAGGATAACAATAATATGGGTAAAAATAAGGATGACATCATGGGAGGAGTCTACTATAGACCATCAAATCAAGAAGAAGCAATTACTTTAATCACTATTTCTTTCTGGTGCATGCTCCAGCCACACAGCACCTACAGAGTCAGCACACATGATACTAAGGAAAAACCTATTAGGATAGTTAATTTGTAGAATAATGTTCTAAAGGAGACTGCGGAATCACAGTTTTTTTAAGAATACATTGGACAAATGCTTGCTAAGGATAATCTAGGTATAATTGGTCCTGTTTCAGCACAGGAGGCTGACCATGATGACTTCTCCAGGTTATTTCAGCCCTACATTTCTATTATTTTATAAAATTAACTGAGAGAGAGAGAGAGAGAGAGTGTGTTACGGGGAAAAAACTCCAACTAAATACAAGATACCTACACTTTCCTCTTTAGCATCTGGTACCTATTCTGCATAAGCCCAAAACCTTGGTCTCTTTCGTCAACAGAAGTTGATCCAGTAAAAAATATTACCTCATCAACCTTGTCTCTCCACATACTGCACTAAACTGACCCTGGACAGCTTCTATTTTTCTGAATATAACAGTTATAAGGACTTCAATAACAATTTCTTATCAATGAACAAGACCATTACAGAAACTCAGTATCAAACCTCAACTAGCTAATTGCTGCTTGCAGTACTATTGTAGGTGTGTTGGACCCACAACATTAGAGAGAAATAAGGTTGTTGAGATAATATCTTTTATTGGACAACTTCTGTTAATAAGAGGGATGTTTTCCAGTTTACAGAGAGCTCTTCCTCAAGACTAGGAAATGTACTCAGAGTGTTTCAGCTAACTAGGAGGTGAAAGAGATTTAGAATAGTAAATATTTCAAGGAACCATTCAAGGTAAAGTGGTCTCAAAAAGGTATACCTCTTGTTGGTATAACCATGAGTGGGATCTGTGGATCTTGAAAGGAATGGTGGATATTGATCATTGTAGCAGAGAAGATGTGTCTGAGGGTTTGTTCTGGTACGGTCTGGTGCTGCTTTAAGTTGGCATGTCCTGGTCCATGGGAAGTTTGTTTCTATGATGATGCTAATGACTGTGATTCTCAAACTTTTGCATTAGTGCCCATTTTTGTGCAGTAAGACTCAAAGTGCGACCTTCCCTTATAAATTAAAAACACTTTTTTATATTGAACACTATTATAAATGCTGAAGGCAAATCAAAGTTTAAGGAAGGAGGCTGATAGCTCACAACCTCTACGTAATAACTTTGTGACCGAGAACTCCTGTATTAGAGAGGCAGGGGGAGGGGGGGGGATGTTTGAAAACTAGAAAGGGGACTTCAGGAAAGATGTTTCAGGATATGGTCCCCATAGGTTGTAGTTGTTCAACAATGCCCCATATAGATTTCAGTGTGAGATTTTATTTCAGTACAGGCCATCCTCACTATAAGTCCAAGATACATTCCAAAAAACTTAGACTTATAGTGAAACAACTTAAAGTGGGGAATTTTTTCCCCATGGCTGACTTCCATTTGCACAAATTTGTTTTTATGAGACTCAAGAGTGCGGAATGAGAGGATTTATAACGCATCAGTTCCTACAAGTAACGACTTTAGTGTAAAATGAATATATATCAAGGCAACTTATAGCAGGGACACCCTGTATTGAAACAGATTCTCTTGATGTATGATGGCCCATTCAATGATGTGATCTACTTTTCTGGTGGAGTGTCTTAGTTTGGTAAAGGCAATTTTAAGTGCAGTAAAGTGTATCCTGGACTTCCTCTTCAGAAAATATTTTGTGGCATCTGAGAGCCTTCTTGTAGATGACAAATTGCTAGTGTGTCTGGCATGGGTACTTGATCTGTGAAAGTAGGTGTTCTAGTATCTAGTTGCCTGTAGAGTTCCATTGTTGAAGTTGATTGTGATGTCTAGGAAGTTGAGCTAAGTTGGGAGTGTTCTAGAGAGAGTTTATTGATGGTTTGGCGCTGTGGTGAAAAATCCATAAAGTTTAACAACATGATAAGCAGCAAATGACCTCAAGTACCACTACTTGGATCTTTAATCACTTCAGATAAACACAGTAGGCTCCCAGTTTGTTGTAATACACCACAAGCAATTCAAAAGGGAATCCAGTAAATTGATTTGAACACACCAAATGTTTTTACATTTAAAAAATAATAATTAAACCATAGCTAATAATTCCAGTCTTAGAATTCTAAAAGTTAGGTCCTTAAAGCCATATATAAACTCCTAAATAAAAGTAAGCTGATTGTAGCAATGCTGAGCACTGCAACTCCCATTGACTTCCATGAGAGCTGTACCACACGGTACCACTGAAAATCAGCCCTCTTTCCAGATGCCCAGATATGGATATAGTATACTAACTTTAGAGACACAAGATGTAAAGTGCTGGTCCCTCTTTTTATTGGTGCTCAGGATTATTTTTAATACTTTTAAAATTATAATCATACATATAATTCTTTGCACAGAGGCATCATATTTCACTTCAGATACGTATCAGTGGCTACCAACAATACTGAATTTCATGAACTGATTCTGTTTTGCATCCTTCAGCAATAGATCACAAGCATTGTCCCTTCAGATGGGTCTGTATAAAGCATGCCACCAACTCTTGTGACCATCTCAAACTGCAGAATGTGAAAAAACTTAAACAACAAATAGTCTTTCAGCACCTTAGAGACTAACAAAAAAGTAGATGGTGTCATGAGCTTTTCCCACTTGGCTTATCTCTTATTTTTAAATGTAATTTCTAAAGATCACAGTTGCACAGAAAAGTGAAATCTTAATGGTTAAAAAATAGAAGGCAAATGTATATAGTGAAAAATCACAAGCTGTTTTGGGTTCCTGACTCGGAATATTTGAATGTTTGGGATTGGCAATACCATTGTACAGTAGTAGTGTAATGAACATTGATTTTGCTTGAGGCCTTTGGCTATTACCACAAATATTACATAAAAATTAAATTAAAAATGGGAATCTGATGGTACAAGTCCATATCCACACAAATATCTGCAATGGTTAGCTCCACAAACATAACACAAAACTGTTTTAGAAAATCATGCAAAAATGACCAGATTGAAATAGGTTAGCGTTTGACTTTCCTCTTTCAGCATGGAGACCCAAGGGGCCTGTTCTCTCCATGTTATTTTTCACTTTCAAGCTAAACGTGTGGTTGGCTACAAATGAATGTAAACGTTATTCATTAAACACAGCTACTCAGTAAACACTGGGGGTATTAGCCACACTAGCAAAAAAAAAGAAAAAAAAGTCTTATCTAAAAGCACTGAAGATCCATTAGGTCAACTGCTCTAGGGAAACCATAGTCTTTGCTTACTCAGAGGATAGTACCATTTAGGTCAATGGAAGGTTTGCCTGATCAAAGACCGTGTTTGTTCAGAAACCTTTCAGAGACGTCCCCATCTCCATTTTTGCCACTGGCCGCAACCCCCAGGGTTCAGTCTGGGTAACTACACTGCACTTTACACCCGCACATCCCTACCGCCACGCAGAGCAATGATAGAAATCCCCCGCCCCGCGCCCCAGAAAACGAAATAAAACGAAGCCGTGGAGAACCAGACTCGCGCATCCACCCACACTCCTGGGCTGCACGGCCTAGAACAACTTTACCGCGAGTGGAAAGACGGGTACAGCTTGCGATGGAGTAAATGCAGCGGTGACAGCCGCGGAGCCGGGAGGAAGGAAGCCCCGAGCCCTGGGACCGGGGAGGAGAAGCTGCAATAGATAGAGCGATTGAGGATCGCAGCCTAAAGTGCCCCCTCCCGAGGTGACGGCGGGGCTTGCTTTACCTTCAGCGGGACTTTCATCTCGTCCTGCTTCCTCCTACTCGCCCAGGGCTGAGAAGCTGGACTGGTTTGCCGATCTCTTTGCTCATCCCCCTCTGAAAGCCCTTCGTGAGCACGGTGTCGCCATCCCCCTGCCTGCCTGCTGCTCCTGCACACCGAGTCTAGCTGCGAGAAGAGGAGGTCCCTCCAAGTGGGTATCTCCATCTCCTGCTAGGCTCCATAAAGACGTGATCCTTGGACCACTGATGGAGATGAGGTGGTTAATGTTCCACTTCTCTTGTTACTGACTCAATCTGTCTTTATGGCTTATTATCTTCTTCAATCAGAGGGCTCTGCAGGGCGCTCACAGGACAAGCTGTGGCTCATTTGCACACCAGATTAGCAATGAGTCACTGCAAGGTGTGCGTCCAAGCTGAAGTGTCTTTGCTGCACCTCCTGCCACAACTGCCCCATCCCAGCACGATACACTTTGAAGCTTCCAGTTGCTTTTATGAAGTATAAGCAGAAGGGTGTGGGGGGGACAGTGTTTGAAAGAGCGAGGCAGGGTATAAAGCTAAATTTGGAGGGTCCCCCCCCAAAAAAATTCCATTTAGCCCTTGGTTTGAGCATGCCCCATGAAAAGGATGGAATTTGAGCTGTTATTAATTTTCTTTTGAGCATGTGCAAGCTACATTTTTGAAAGGCTTACAGGTTGACCGAAATTTGGTGGATTTTCAGGGGGACAACAAAAACCATGCCCCCTAATGCAAAAGCAATCCCTTGCCAAATTTCTGACTACTAAACATGAGGGTACTAAAGTTTCCCAAAGAAAAAGATCACCATAACTTTTTACTATGGGCAAAATAAGGCATTTTTCTTTTACCCCATTCTCAGAACCAGATGAACCATTCTGGTTGATATTTTCAAATAAATAAAAAGATACATTCAGCCTGAGGCAGACACTCAGCATGGAAATTTTCAGCCCAAACCTAATTTTTGCCAGACTATAAGCATCTAAAACCTGGATATTACAGCGGGAAGCGTTGCACAGCATGTATACCTTAGCACCCCATAAAGACCCACAAGCTTCATTGTGAGTCTTCCTAGGAACACACATCTGCCTGTGTTCATGTCAGTGAAGGGACAAGAGCATTTGGCACTTTTACAGTTTCATGCTTTTCACATCTCATTACAAACTATATGATTTTTTTCAGTCATAACAGATATTCATTTTCCCTGGCATTAGACAGAGTTCAGTGTGGGTTACCTCTAGTATTAATTGCATACAAATAAAAATTGTCAGTATATTCCATCAACTTCACGCAGTTACAAACTTCAGCACTGTGCTCACCAATATCTAATACAAAGATTTCTAAAGTCCGGATATTTGGTATGACACAATGTATCTAACCTCACATCAGCTAACTTGAGCTTGGGCTGCAATATAGGGGTTGGGATGGAGCTCAGACTTTGTGTCAGTCCACACCTGAACAGGGACACTACAATTTTACAACCTTGCAGTGTGAGCCCTGTGAGCATGAGTCAGCTGACACAGGCCAGCTACAAGTGTTTATTGCAGCTTGGACTACTCGCAAAGACCACTTAAAAATCATGGTAATCATCGGGAATCTATGTAGATTCTTCCCCTTTACCACATTATCTCCTTGTGCGTGAATTAATGAGACACCCCTATTACTGATTTTTCTAGAAAAATTGAGTTATTCTCATGGGACTCACCTTAAGACCAGACAATCCATTTACCCATCCTTTGTCTTTAATGTATCATTTATCTTTAAGCAGCAACATCCACAAACTGCGGCGAAATAGGGGAGAAAAAGAGCAGGAAAATCCCATCAAAGGGTTTGTGCTAAATGAGGCAAATCTTAGTGGGCTGTACGTGCCCCATACTTAGCTTTTGATGTCATTTGGGTGTTGCATATAATGACCCATCCAGTTCATGTCTTTGTTCAAGCCATGAGAGAGAGTATCAAATTTGCATGAAGGCCAGTTCCGCAGACTCTCTCTAGTTGATTCCTAAAATTACTTTGTAAGAGAATAGCCATCTTTAAATTAATTAATGAGTGCCATTTATTAACATTTATTAAAACTTTGACAGATTTTTTCTCCTCCCACTCTACCCTCTTTTTCTGCTTTATAATTGAACTCTTGCTCCATATTTGTCATCTGAAGAAGTGGGTTGTGCCCAGAAACCTCATGATACTATCTATATATTTTTGGTTAGTCTCTAAGGTGCCACAGGATCAGTGTTATTTTTAAAGTTTTTTTTCCAGTTACAGACTAACACGGCTGCCCTCTGAGACTTTTAATAATGTTTACTGTAACTTTTGAGCATCCAACAGATTATTACTTATGTTTGTATGGAAAGCTAGAAGAAATAAGTAATAAGTTTTAATAAAATATTTTTCAAATTATTTCATAGCCAAAAAGTATTCAGTCTATCCTAAAATGTCATTTTTCAGTAATCAGAATATGTACCAAATGTAATATTTTTAGCTTAAGAGTGCACTCAATTAAAAAAGCTAAAGACCATTTAGTGAAAAGTTCTATTTAAAATATTTCCTAGAGTCAATGGCCATAATCAGTGAGTTTGCCAAATTTCAGTATTCGAGGCTAGTAAGTCAGCCTACTACAAGTATTACATTTAAATAGAAATATTTCACCCTTAAAAAACTGCAGCTTACCACCGCCAAAATGATTGTGCTATTTTAAAATATACAGCAATACTCTACAATAGTTTAGATCAGGAGTTAAAGATAATTTCATAACATTAAAAGTACAGGTAGAATTCTAAGATAATTATGATTGTTCATAATGAAATTTGTACAGGCCACAAATTGACACCAATAGTACGATAAATGTGGTCTATTAATTGTATATATGTAATGGTAATTATATTTATAAGCTTTTCACAATGCAGTATACCTTATACACTCCATTTTTTATCATCTGAATGCATTACTCAATTTTAATGTAATGCAAAAAGCTGTTATGTTGGGAATAGAAATAGAACTGGTAAAAAATTAATCAAAATATATTTTTCCCATACATTTCTTGATAAATAATTTTTAGATCCTCATTTATAGAAGTACTACAGTGCATGACAAATCAGTCATGCTTCAGCTTTGATTTGAATAACATTTAGCACACGCTTAAGAGTTTTGATGCATCAGGGTCTTCTAGCCAGGTGAAAAATTAAAAAAATATTTGTGTATATGAATTTTACAAAATTTACAAATATTTGCAGCTTTTTCTTCAATATTTACCAGATCTAATTTTGAATATTTAAAAAAAAACCTGAATTCACTTTGTCTTTCCTTGTGTTACCTAGAACTTGTATTTTACATTAGATTTTAATTCGCTGTACTGTTAACCTAGCAGTTGACATAGTAAATATAACCAAATATATTAGGTGAAAATTCAGCTAACACAACAGTAAACACAATTTTGCTGACAGACATCTCTACATGGTCTGAGGACCATCCAAAATGTAACACTGATCAGCAGCAATTTCAATTTTTGTCATGAGCCTCAGCCCAGCCTTCCCTGGGAGGGGGGAGAGCCAGGGCTGCCACATCATGACCTTGGCTCGGTGGCCAGGGGGAGAGCTGGGGCTCAGCCCTCCCCAGCAGCTGGGGGAAATGGTGGGGGGGGGAGGGAAGCTGGGGCTAGCATGGCCTCAGCCTGGCAGCCAGCAGGAGGGCAGGGGCTGGTAGCGCTTCTGCACCCATTTCCCCTTTATTCACCACCCTGCTGAGATCTCACACTCCCATCCCCCTCACGCACACCCTCCACGAAGACCCTGCATCCCTAGCCTGCTCCTGCCCCTTTTCCCCCTTGCAAAACACCCTGCCCCCAGCCTGCTCTTGCACCCTCCCCTCGGCCAGACACCTACTGCCAGATGGGGGAGGTTGGTGAGAATAGCGTGCAGGGGATGCAGCCGCCTAGTTAGGGCTAAAAAGTTTTGAGTTTACAAAATCTTTTGGCATTCGTTTAAACAAAAAATAAAAAAAATCATTTCTTTACAAAAATAAAGTTACCTAAAAATTATGACGGTTGCCCAGGCAAATCCTGACATAAGAGGGCAAACTTTAAAGTACCTTTAACTCCTGAATACAAAGGCACAGCCACCTTGTTCTCACCAGCTTAGATTCTGCACTGAGTTCAATTCAGTCAGACCGAAGGACCAAATACTTTAGTCCTTCAAGCACTTATATATGTGTGCTACTTTTCTCACTTGAGTAATCCCACTGATTAAAATGAAATTACTTAAGTACTAAATTCATGCAAATTTGAAGTATCTGGGCCTTAGTAAAGTGCAACATTTTTCTGATCACATGTATTGGTGTAGGTAGGAATATAACATGTTTGGGAGTCAGAGGATGGTAGCTACAGATATTTCATATTTCTATGGTGGGTAGACTATTTATGAACAATCCATTCATGTTTTAAATTGTAAAATTAAAATTTAACACTTATAACTTTGCTTTCTGCAACTATCCTTTCTCTAATAAATATACAGTTCTAGTACCTCTCCATGGTTCTGATCCTTCAAACCTATGCTCATGGGAATGAACAGTCTTTACTCATAAGAGGAAGAATTTGCAAGATCAAACTCCATGAGATGGATAATGTAGATCTGTCCTACTATCTAGATGCTTTGTAGGATCAAGTCCATATTCCTTAAATAGCTCTAGTGCAGCTATGTAAAAAAACAAGTGCTGAAGCATGGACATTAAGTTTTTCCAACAATGGTAATGTATTTATCATGACCTACAGAGTCTGTAAATTCAAGTTGCTCTCCATTCAGCAGCAAAGTAATGAAATGTCATATTGTGTTGTACCTATTGTCAATGACTATATTGTAATAATTTCTAGTGTCGAGTGGCACAGAAATATTTGGTTTTAGTAACTATGTCACAGATATAACACAAAAATGAACTTGAATCTGTACCAAGGACTGATAATAATACAAAGGATCAAGGTGATAAAAATATTTTAATTTGGATTAAAACGATCTAGAATAGAAAAAAAGATACATCAACAACCAGACAAACCCCCTAAAATTCGACTTCCTCATCAATATTTAACAAGCAATTTAGAGCTTAATCCTGAGATACTGAGTAAACAACCTACTATAATCTTAAATATTTACTTTTAAGTTTTTTAGGTGCGCAGAAAGTTACCATTATGGTAGGTGTCCCAGTGGTATTTATGCTCATTGTTTTTGAGAAAGCTATTTAAGTTTTCCTGCTCTTAGGAACGTATTGAATCCCCTGAGTGAAATCCTGGCTATATCTTGCCACTAACTTTAAGGAGACCATGATTTAACCCAATGAATTCAAAATAGAATACAGTATCTGTTGAAGCATTATTTTTCTTTTTTCCTGACTTTAAATAGAAATTGTAACACACACACTCCAAGTCAAATTCTACTCTTTGCTATGCAAATGGTGCTCCTATGAACAGATAAAAGGGAGCAATATGCTTGCATATTAATTGTGTATTTGAATAGTGGTATTGATTTCTAGTACTGATATTTTGATTTGTTATGGTGAACTAAAAATTATCTTTATAAATAAATAACTAGAGCCCCCCCAAAAATACAAAGTTTGTATAGATTTGGAGAGTACAAATAAATATATATTTAAAATAATTGGAAGTTGTCTCCTTGATTACTTATCTGCGGAGACTAAAGGGCTTAATCCCGCAACAACTTGTTACTATGTTTAGTGTTTATTACTGTGGATTGCCTTACTGAAGTCACTATTGTGTGCAAGTCTCATGGCAGTAAAGTATTCCTCTTTTAATTTCTGCAGGATTGAGCTGTAAATTAGAATACTGTATTTCCCTTGTAAAAACTGATGCTATTGCTATCAATTATAGTAGAATAAAACAAAAACAAAACACACATACCTTTAAATTCAGATTTTAAAAGATTAAATGTCTCTGATTTTTATCAATGGAAAGTCTGAATACATATATTCACACCACCACAAAAAATACAAAAACCAAACAACAAAAAATCCGACTACATGAGTTAAGATTGAGCGTAGTATTCTGTAATTTAAGGGCAAAAACCAACAGAAAACATCAACCAATCAAAACTACCACATTCCCCCTCTCACATACATATTACAGAATGTTCTAATAATCTAACACTAAACATTATAAAACCAGGAAATTCAAAGATAAAGCCACACTTAAAACAAATCAAATTAAATTGAATGATAA